CTTTGGCCCAACCACTTCATTAGCTCTGGAGCTACTTGTACTTGTCCTCCGCTTTTCCTTAGTAGCATGCTGGATGCCTTCTGACCTGAGGGGCTCAATTTCCAGCATCATATCTTTTAGCCTTTTGTTTCTGTTCATGGGGTTTTCTTGGGAAAGATACTGTAGTGGCATTGCCAGTTCCTGCTCCAGGTGGATCGCGTTTAGTCAGAACTCTCCACTCTGACCTGTCCGTCTTGGGTACCCCTGCATGGCATAACCAATAGCTTCTCTGAATTACTCAAGCCCCTTCGCCATGACAAGGCAGCAATCCATGAAGGGGCAAAATCAGATAAGGAGTGTCAATGTAATATTGTTCATGGGAATGTTAAGGGAAAGACATCTGAAGCTTATAGATATTTGGCAATTGTTAATTACTCCATCTGTTGCCAAGGTGTTTATGTAATTAACACTTTGAAAGTGCATTGCCAGTGTAAATGAGGCAGTTGTCATTTTCTGCACCTCATTCACTCCGTCCCCACCCTAAATATTGCCCTCTGTATATCTAAAGAAGCAGGCTATAATTCATGAATACTTATAATAAGCTTTAAAAGTTCTTTTATGTGTTGAAATAATACATATAAAGGTATCTTGTATTGATGAACAAATACCATAATAACACCATTGACAGAGGAATCCATATTTTTCCAAAATGGCCCATTACCTCTTAATATGAGCACGTTAATTTTTTAAAGATGCGACAATACTTTGTTTTGGTATAGTTTTGCTGAAATTGAAACAAACAAGCAGAGCTACCTCTTAGTAAATATTTTGCTTGAGAAGCCTTAACATAGAGACAGACATTTTTCTCTCAGAAAGATGAGGGTAGATTAACAATGTCCTTGCTGCCTGAGATTTGCACATCTTGCTGTCATTATTAGTCAAACAGGTTTTACAGATTTGCAGTGCTTAAAACATGCAAAACCTGTTTACCTAGATACAAAGTTTGTGTGTGTGTGTGTGTGTGTGTGTGAGAGAGAGAGAGAGAGAGAAAGAGAGAGACAGAGAGACAGAGAGAGAGAGAGAGAGAGAGAGAGAGAGAGAGAAGAGGGGGGAAGGGGAGAGAGATGGGCTGTCAAGTTGAAACTATCTGTGATCCTGATAGGGTTTTCAGGGGTAATGAGATATTTGCTTTTGCCATTGCCAGTTCCCCTCTAGGTTTCCACGGCTGAATGGGGATTTGAACCCAGGCCTAGTCCATCATTCTATACAGTATATTACATCACACTGAGTAATCTTCTTAAAGATAGGCATTTCTCATAGAACACTATGGACTGAAGTCCACTTCATCAGATGTAATATACATTTTTAGGCTATTTTAAAAAGCTATATATTTCTAATCCCATCTAGAGAATTTTGCAAGATTCCACCATAAGCATGGTCTAGGTCCACATTACCCAGTGTGGTACAGTGGACAGAGTAATGGATTAGGACTCAAGACACCTGAATTCAATTCCATTGTTCTGCCACAGAAACTCACTCTATTTGTTTGCATGTATGTGTGTGTGGGGGGGGGAGGCTGGTAAAACCACCCCTTAAAATACTTGAGAAACCTACTAGGGTTGCTATAAGTGAGTTCTGACTAGACAGCACTCAACCACCACAGGTCTATGTTAAACTTTTTCAAAATTAAACAACTGACTAACCATTGGACAAAATGAAATATTTACAGTTCAACTGCATCAACTTTCATTTAAGAATTTCTATTCTCCAAGGTAATCAACTGTTGCTAGAAAACCTATGAGTGAGATTCAAACTGTTTTTTCTAAACTAGGGCAAAAATAAAGAATCTGATGTCTATTCGGGTCAACAAGAATGAACGTGAACTCAATCCTAAGGATTGTTCATCTTGGAGAACAGGAATAGAACTGGAATAGAACTGGAACAGAACTGGAAGGACAGATCCTAAAGTTGAGGCTTCAATACTTTGGCCATCGCATGAGAAGACTCCCTGGAAAAGACCCTGATGTTGGGAAAGTGTGAAGGCAAGAGGAGAAGGGGACGACAGAGGACGAGATGGTTGGACAGTGTCACCGAAGCGACCAACATGAATTTGACCCAACTCTGGGAGGCAGTGGAAGACAGGAGGGCCTGGCGTGCTCTGGGCCATGGGGTCACGAAGAGTTGGACACATCTTAACAACAACAACAACTTAACAACAACAACAACAACTATGCAGGCATCGGCCACCACTGGCATCCAACAAAAACAGGCAGCAGCCTAGCTACAAACATGCTACATAGCTGTTTGCCTATAACCTTTAAAGTAGAACTATAAGAGAAGGACTTCATGATGGACAAACTGATATTGTTGTTTTAATAAAATCCAGAGATCTAGTAGTAGAAGCCTGGTGGAACAAACGCATGGTTAGAACTAAAGAATTTAGAGGTCAAAAGATTTTCTTTGAGTATATATCAGGTTAAAGATAACACAACCTTCGAGACATAATTCCACTCCTAATAACCTCCATCTCCAAGTGTCCCACCTCCCCCGATAATTTTTTTTAAATCAGAAAACAATTGTGTTATAGCTATTAATACAATAATCAGAAACTCTACTAGCACTCTACTACATTGTGGCAAATCACACAGAGATGATACGTCTTTTACTCTGCAATCTTTGCTAAAGTTAAAGAGGCTTAACACTCATTCCCTCCTTCTAAGGAGCACTAAGAGTTGCAGATCTGTATATGTGAAAGTACTGGGGAGTTAGCCAAGATTTCTCAGCTCTGTTATTATCCAAAGTGAAGCAGCTGTCTCAGATAGCAAGCATTTGGGAATAGGGAGTAATGATAGTGAGCTGCTGGGGTAGGCACACCATATAGCCTGCCGTGTGCTTTCTACACTAGTCTGGTTTCTTTCCTATGGCATTAGCAGTGAGTCTAGAAATCATGCTGAGGTCGGCTGGAACTAGCTTCTATCCTTTCCTTCCAGCCTCTAGCTTGCTTGCATAGGACTACCTCTTGGCTGTACTTGCAACTTATATAGCTGAAACCACACCCAGGTGTTTTAGAGGCAACCAGCATTTTATTAGGAGTCCCCTGCCCGGGGAATTAGCTCCAGTACATAGAAGGTGGGTGGCATGGAGGAACATTTTCATTTCAAGCAGCAAAGTATCTCAGGCCAGTCCTGTTTCTCACCAAAATATTGCCCACGATGTTTGTGGGAAAGGATATGCACCAGGGAAGTTAACTTAGTATATGTTAAATAAAAACTAGTTTGCATGCCATCAGGGAACAGTGGTTGGCTTGCGTCTAGCCCGTGTAAGTAGCAACAGCAGCCACATCCCGCCCCATTGTTCTTGTCCAGTTACCTGCATTTGTTTTCCAAGTTGAACCAGAATTATAACTCCAGTGTCCACCATCTTCTTGCACTTGACTGACCAGTCCTGGAAAGGAAGATACTGGCATCCCTTCTCCAAAAATCTAGCAAGTCTTTCCTAAGGAAAACGGGGTGGAGGAGAGCAAAGAGAAAGAATATTAGCACTTACGCTTTTGCTTCAAATTGCCACAATCTTTATAAAGATCACATTCACTGTGTTAAGCCCAAGCTTTTGGAGGGCGGGGGCGGGGGCGGGGCGGGGGGTGGTGGGAAATCACAACTTTTGG